ACATGTGAAATTGCATCTATAGACATATTTTATAAATCAATCTTGTTTCGATGTAAACTTTATTTCTTAGCGCTTTGGTCGTAAGGCGGTCGTCTCGTACATCTACAATAGATATTTTTATCATTCTGACCCCCGATACCCATATTTGAAAGATTCTTATATCTGTAGTTATCGTTACCGCCAGCGGCAATGTACAGTAACTGCATGAGCTAATTCAAATGGAGTAATTACTGTGAACGAAGAGCATGGTGACTCCCGAACTCCCATTCAAGAGCATCTGCGACTAGAAGAATTCAAAAATGAGTTTAAAAAATAAATACGTGGAAGCATAGCTGATGCTTTCACTATTTTTAAAACCCTTAGTACCGAGTAAGTATTTTACGTGGTCAATAGAGTTTGAGACATTCCTGAAGTACCTAGTAGTATTCCTGAAGTAGTATCAACATATGTAATTTTTAAGTTTTTCAATATAGGATGATGACTAATTTTTTTTCCTCGTTTATCAGGTAGATTATGAAGAAGTATTGGACCCGTATTTTTCTTTTTTCACATAATATAAACATTGCAGAGATATATTGATTTGAAAAGTCGCATGACGTCGCGTTAGAGTACACTTATAAGTGAAAATTCACTCAAAAGTGACGTCACGAGCCCCTACCCCCCAACTTTGACGCGCTATAACTTTGTCATTTTTTGGTTGATTGCCTAAAGAAAAAATACGTGTCCATTATTTTTTGATCATCTAACTGACGGACTAAATAGAATTTCGTTTACTGTACCCCGTCATCACCCCTATTTATAATCAATGACTACCAAAACAGAGTGTCAAACTTGAAAAAATTTTCAATTAGCGTATAATGGAGTGAACACAATCAACAAATACCTTCCAGGTATGCAGATGTTGCTCATCTTATTTAGCAAAGAAGTGCGAACATGCACATTTTTAGGGATCGTAATCAATACAGATCAAACCTACTAAAAAATCTCGAAGATTTTGGCAGATCTCAACTCTCTACGACTAATGGTTCTGGAGATATTTAATTGTTTATATCAAAATTACCATTGTTTCTTAAACAATTGATCGTCGCTCATCAACAAATAAATTTATCGAAGTTTTTATTTTAATCGGAAACTACATCGATTAAATATTACTTTTCTAAATCAAAAATAAAACAAAAACTTCAGTCGAGTAGCTAGAGGCTATTTCCGAGGGGCAAAAGGTCAAACAGTATTCAATAATGAAGCACAAAAATCAGTATGTTTTGCCTGTATACATATGATCTCAAAAAAAACCAGAAGAAGAAGAAAACCACAGTTTACCTTACTACGGAGTCCAAGAAGCGAGATCATGAGGCAGATTCTATACTCAAAGTCTCATCGAAAAAGATAAAAAACCAAAAGAGATTCGGGGACCGACCAATTATAGATAATGAACCTCAATATACGCTAGATTCATCTGTGGAACCTCTTTTAAAAATAGCAGAGTAAAAGAAAAAACTACGTATAAATCCAACAGAAGAGATTGAGCCTCGCCACAAGTTATCTCCGGCTTTCAGAACTTACTTATAGAAACAAAAAAAAGAAGATGCCACGTGGCTGTAGTGCAGAATGAGATATAAAAATTTACTAAAAGTTGTGAGTGATAGAGTTGTATATTATAAAACTGTATATATTAGAGTCAATGCTAACAGAGTTCGTTCCTTTCCAATTTTAGAATGTAATGCTAAAACTGCTTATTTCTTTTGAAGTAGGTTTTATTTCTTTTTATATTTTTACTAAGGTGAGATGTCAAATGGTACACACCAGGAGCTCTACTCTCTTTCTCCGAAACGAAATTTCGGTAACGAACGAATTTCAAACGAAATTTCGCCAGTGTCTCTACTCTATTTCATTTTCGAACAGGCACATTAACTTATACAGGCACATTATTTTCGAACAGGCACATAAACAGTTTTCGTGAACGAATGGAATGAGTCATGTTTGTGAGTTCTTTTTATCTCTACTTTTAAGAAAACTTTTTTTTACTTGGAAACAATATAGGTAGTGTACGGCAAATTTTTTGATGACATTAAAAAAACCTTCTTTGACAGTGTTAGCCGACTAATTTGTAGAGTCGATACAATCTACTGTATGTCAACCTCAATTTGTCGTTTAATACTTTGAAGTATCGAAATTACAAAAAATAATAAAAAAATGGTTTATTTGTTAATTTTACATGCTAAAAATGTTACTCGAGCTAAGCAGCTATTATTAAAAATACTCTTGCAAGTATTTTAGGCTTAATTAAAACAAAAATCTCAAAACGAAAATGAAAAGGTAACACTTTTCATTTCGTCGATTTGAGGTTAAAATTTCGAACAATTATCTGTCAAATTCAACTTTTCCTTCGAAAGTTTTGTGAATTAGAGTAGGCTTGGAGAATTTAATTGTCAAAATATTTCGGACGAACGAATTTTCGAAATGAAAAGGAAACAGAGTAGGGAACGTGCGAAATTTCGATCGAAATTTCGTTTTTCGTTGAAATAGAGTAGGCCTCCAGATGTGATTACTATAACGGCGCGATTACACTTGGGCGTTAGCCCGAATACGAGGGCCAATGGAATACGGGTAAACGACTAAGTGTAAATAATCGGAGTAGAGTACGCCAGTATTCGGGTAGTTTGCGTTTTGTTTACCCGACAGTGTTAAAATGCCGTCTGAAATCCGGAGTTCAAAGTCATTTCCCATATTTAAAAGTAGACTACATACTCTCCTTCTGCTGCGAACTTAGTCTACTTTAAAATTACATAATTGTTAGTATGTAGGTATATATTTATGTTCAATTATATATATATATATATATATATATATAATATGTATATGTATATTATATTAATTACATTTCTCATCGACTCTGCTGGCTTACTACATCTTCTTTTGCGTTTAGTTTACCTATACCGCGAAGGTTGTCTGGAAGAGATCGCTTGTAGCGATAAGACCGCCTTTGCCCATATTATTGTTATTAATGTATTCTTCGTAACAAAGTCGTTTTGTATGTGAGCAATAAAGTGTTTATTATTATTATTATTATTAATATTGCTTCGAGTGCCCGAATTCCAGTTATTTCTCTCATGCAACCGAATACGGGCTAGCGACCAAGTGAAATTGAGCCATTAGGCTCGTTCGTTTTCATTTTGTATTTTTACGTGGTACCAGCTATGAGGTTGATGCCATAAAGATCAACATAAACCAGGCTGATGCACCTTGAACGTGTAGATAAGCAGCTATGTAGGTATTAACGATTTCTGCGTAGTATTGTGCAGTCGAAGAATAATAACAAATACCTATTACATGACAGTACTACACCTGTAAGTTCTTTTTTAAAAATAGGACTTTTATCAGAAAATAATATTTTAAAGCCTGCTGATATATACAGTTTAGTTACGATAACAATAATAAATACTAAACAATTCATTACAAGGGCGGGCTTCAAAAGAAAGTTTATTTTTTGATTTTTTTTTTGCCTAGTGGGGAGAGCACTGTCTTCTGGGGGCCATTCGCCTAACGTAAATGCTTTGGAAAACGCTAACGCTTACGATTTCATTTTGTTAATTCTAGCCACCTGAGGTTTTCAAATGCCTTGCGCTCTTTTTATTTCTTTTGCATTGGTAAAAACAATATTAAAAAAAAGAGCGTGAAGTATTTGAAAACCTTCGGCGGTCAGAAATAACAGAATAAAATCGAAAGTGTTAGCGCTTCCCAAAGCATTTCGGTAAGGCGAATGGCCCCCTGGTCCTCAGGGTAACCTTTTCCGGAGAACAGGGTTCACATTATCATGTTCCAAAATGTAAAGTGGTTCCAATAAATTATTATTATTTGAATTGGCTTTTATTTATTGAAGTTATACTTCTTTAGGCGCGTTATGAAAAAATGATGAGAGTGAAATTTTAAGATGCGCGCGCATCACTGTAACACAAAATTTTAACAGCATGAAGTTGGTCGCTAAAGCGACCAACTTCATGCGTTACTTTTGTGTTTACCTCACATTAAGAAAATCTACCAACAAAATAGAAATAGAATCTCTACTTAGTGGGTGCTAACGACTGCATTGTGAAGGCCTATCAAAAGTATTTATTAATCTAGAACAACGGAACCAAAGCGCGATTCAGGAGACTACAGCGCCATCTCTTGACCATTGGTGTAGTAGAACCAAAAACCTCATCTTTATTTTTTGTAATAAAGTAACAGTTATAGGTATTCATATTTATAATATCAAAAGTATTTATTAATCTGGAACAACGGAACCAAAGCGCGATTCAGGAGACTACAGCGCCATCTCTTGACCATTGGTGTAGTAGAACCAAAAATCACATCTTTATTTTTTGTAATAAAGTAACAGTTATAGGTATTCATATTTATAATATATATCCACATGTTTCTAGTTTGTATATTCGGAATACGTGTTTGAGTTTCATACAAGTGCAAATCACATATGTTCTAATAAATTATATTCAGTAGCGATTTTAATTGAATATTTTGATTATTTATTTATTTTTTCAAATTAAAACTGAACTTTATTGACTGTGTCCTTTTCCAGACTTTTTATTAATTTATTGTAATTAATTATTTGCATGCAATTAAAAACTAATTTTAAACGATGCCAAAGAAGGATAACTTCTCACGCGCCTACATAAGTACACGCACCCATTTTTTATTTATTTTATTACACACTACTGACTTTTTACGTTGAGTTTAATTTAAATCCATTATAATTTATATATGATAAAAACAAAATCTTTATGAATATGTTACAGTACTTAAATATTAATTCTGATGATGTAGATGTAGTACACATGGTTGTTTAGTTTATTTTCTAAATGTGGCATACCGGCGTTTATCCCCTCGCTTCTTTGTGCCATTAAACAAACACTCGAGGGGCGAAACACGAGGGTGTAAGTTTGTTATGACTCGTAGTTCACTAACGAACAGCTAGATGGCGTTAAAATACTTTTAAAGCTCGCCGGGCCGCTAGCTAGGAGGCGTGGTACACAACGAGCTTCATAAAATCGATCCGAATAAAAACATAACGTAAATACAGATTTTGTTCTAAGTATATATATTTTTATAACTCTAATCTTTCGATAAACAAATACGTCTTCGTTATGCGATAGCTTATCGAGCTCTCAGTCTTCCACATTCATTTGTGAGTACGAGCCGTGCAATTAGCTGGCTAACAATAGTCGTTGTGATGGATTATGACTGGGCTGTGAACTGAGTGATAATTGATGAGTGTGACAGTTGTATTGACATCATCATCATCAAGATGACAAGATCCACGTACAGACCTCTCGTGCCGCGATCCTCAAACCAATCCTTGGAGAATAGAGACATGGGGTGAGTATTTTATTGATTTTGCACGCCGGGAAACTCGTGCTACTTAAAGCCAAAATGTTTGTATTACATATAATACGAAATATTTTTTGGTTTTCTCTTGAAAAATATGAGAGGGATTGTCGAGTTTGTTAACAGGAACATTCTTAGTTTTGACTGCTCAAAACACCAGGATCAGTATATTACGTAGTCACCAAAAACACAAAAACAATCAGTAGTTAACTTATAAATCCTTCCTTTTTTTATACAATATAAAATCGGAAACGAAATAGAGGTATTTTCATTGATATCTCTTCTTGGCATTTCTAGAAGAATTTGTAACGCAGTAGTACTTACCTACTTACTGCGCATCATGGGAAACAGCTGATTTTTATCATTAAAGCCACATATTATAAGTAAATAAAATATAGCTATAATTTTAAATTATGGACATTTTTAAGTACCTACATAATCATGACAAAGTACTTAAATTTTATTTATGTGAATGTTATGCCTGTCTTAGTTTTGTCTCTGCTGGTATTTTTTGCATTGTAAATATTTTTAAGGCTGACAAAACATTTCATTTGTTTTCTTTATCTCCTTTGCCATGCACACTTGTGTTTTGGACATAAGTACCTAGGTATATCTGTTATTTAATACCAAGAAATCTTATCAATATCAGACTGTCTGGAAACAATGAAATACTTATGTACTTTGTAAATAAGATCTTACCAGAAGTATTTTTAAAGTGCAGTATTATTTTTTCCTTGTATTATAATATTGAATTACCCAACGAGATAGATAGATATTATTCGTTCGTTCTTATTTCTTATATATTCGTTCTTATTCGTTGGAATAACTTGCCATATAAGCGACCCCCCCCCCCCCCCCCTCACAAGCATCTTTCGACCGTGTCGGTCGTTTTCGTACCAGCGTCCCACAACCTTGACGCGACACGGCAAAACGCAACGCCAGCTTTTTTTTGAGTGTGTATGCTGTTGGTCGCAGATGACCTTTACAGCGTCACTGGGATTGGGGACGGCGAGATCCTAAGGGGACCTCAAGCCGAGAATTGACGAGTGCCTCTAGAGGTATTCCAGGCGGATGGCATCTCCCCACAGGGGGAGTCTCCTCTCCGTCTGGAGCCTCTAGACAACCTCGAACCTGGGGTGGTCGGCTCAACTAGAGGGCGTCTCTGAAACTCGAACCTCGGCTCTAGTTATCCGTTGTCGTGGGGGCAATGCCAGCGCTGGCTGACTGTAGTTGCATTGTACTAATAATGTGACTTATTTCTTTAAGGTGGTTCACTCTTTACAAGTTTTAGTTTGCCATCTCCAATTTTGCCGTGCGTAAGTACAAATAAGCTAGGTTTTTGCTCCCAGTCTTACCGCTGAAAACTAATATTTACTAAGCAATGTTTGCCACTTCTTACTGTTATCTGTAATCTGTTTCTATTGTCAGACTACCGTGATAATGTCGTCTTATTCAGACAGATAAAAGACTATTTCTGGAGAATGTTACAAATGTAAACGTAGTTAGATAGATATTTTATTTATCGTGATCAAAACGTATTTTATTTACCTATAACTTAGGATTACTTAGAATTTCTAATGCTAGATTAAAAACTTACTAGCTCGTGACGATTAAAAAAGTCTAGGTATCAATGGAGAGTGCAGTTTAGGTTTTTTTTTTAATTTAATGAATAGGAAAGAAACAGATTGCCCACCTGATAATAAATGGCTCTATAACCGCTTACGATACCAAAACTATCATTCGCACCGTTGCCTACCCTGACCCAATCCCTTACCCTATGGAGCCTTGGAACTTTACTCACCAACAGAAACACGCAACCCCAAAAAGGTAGTGTTATTTTACTGTGGTCTCTTTAAGGTGGATGTTACTTCCTTCTGGACTTGCCTTCTTATGTCCCAAACATGCTCTAATTTACCGATTCAAAATGTATATCTTTCCCCCCTTTAGGGGGCTACCCTAAAAAAATATTTTATCAAAATTTTATTCTACCATTTTAACTTAACTTTATTGACGGGAGATTTTTTGATTGTAAATAACTATACTTATAAAAATATATAATATCTGTATATGAGGAGTGTCCGTTCAAAACTATTTACATTTTGAGCTCGTTTTGTTTTTTTTTTTCGATTCGGTCTCGGAGACATGATTTTTATGAATACCGTAAAAAAAATAATCAAAACCTATAAGGTTCAAATATAAATCAAAAATATGAATTTTGCTCAAAACTTGCTATTTACATAATTTAAATATATTTCATTTTACGATTAAAGAGTTTCTAATCATAATGGTCTATTTACTTTATACTTTCGTTGAAATGATTGAGATGTTGAACAAAAGAGTTCAAATACTGCGTGGCAGGTTATTATGACTAAGTATAACGGAAAACATCATAGATGAATGATTGGTCTCGAGTGAAGCAAGACCAACCATTTATCTATGGGAAAAGATATTCTAAGCTTGGCAGTGTGGCTGGATTCTTATGTTTACTTATCGTAAGAATCTTTTGTTTTAACGTTTTAGCGCATATGTGGTTTGTTGTTCGATAGCCGCTCAAGTGTAGACTTTTATCATAAGTTTTTATAATTTATCATTAGAAAAATGGAAAAAGATATTCGCCAATTCGCTAAGTCGCAAGAGGCGTGTAGTAGACAGAACTTCCAAACGTAAAGTATACGACGACAGAGATCCTTCGGGTGTTAATTTTCGGAGACCTTGCAATCACAAAAGCAATAGTAAATTCAAATGGTCATCTGTTACTATTGACAAAAAAACTTCTTTATAAAGTCTACGAATAAAATTGACCAAGACATATACTTGACTCGGCTACTCACTCCTCACGAACCACAACGAAGAGGAAACTATGTGCCAAAGTTAAAAAGAAAGAAAGTTAATTGTGTTCTTAGTGCTGTCTATTATGTATACAAGAACATTTCTCATGAAAAATAGCTTATTTACAAATATTATTTTATCAAACCAGTCTATTTACCAAATGATTCAAAACTAAAGTGTCTATTTACTACCATCTGCATAAAAAGTGTATATTTACAAACATCTTAATTTTTTAAAAGAATACTAAACAAAGTATTAAAAAAAATGTTCATAAAGATGATTAGACAACTGTATCTTGTAAAGCGTACCACACAAATTATTCTATATATAAGCGTTTTTAATTATTCGTTTTTGGCATTTTCTGTAAAATTCATTCAGATGTTCTCATTATACCTATATAAGAGGAAAAAAATAATATTTTGAATCGAAAAAATTAGCGCGTGTTTGGGTCATTATAGGGTAAGTTTCACCAAATTTTGTGAAAAAATACTGTGGGAGATAAACCAAAAAGTCGGTTATTTTGATTTTTCGCAGATAAGTATCTTTAGGCTATGTAAAAATTGTGTAAATACAAAAATCGTAGATCTTTTGATTACCTATAATTTTGCCATTGATTTTTTCGATAGAAGCTGTAGTTTTCCTTTAAAGAGTACCCCCTACCCTTACCGACTTTTTTATACGCTCTCTTTCTTTTGGTATGGGTTTCATCCTGTTCCAATATTTTTTTGCTCTCAAAAATTATTTGGCCTGGTCCAATATACTTACTCTGAAATAAAGTTCTCCACAGCTTTTCATCAGTAGAAAATTGTACGTGACGTGAGAAACGACGGGCGGGTCGTTAACCTTCAAAATTGCTAAGACTAATCATTTGACAAAACATAAACACGGATTTAATCTTAAGCCAGCATTAATCTCGTTCGCAACTCCTGTCTACACGTTACGTGTATAGAGACATTTAGGTTACATTACATGTACGAGTATTCGAGTAATATCATACGCCAGTCACGTCACTTAATACGCGGAGCAGGAGCTCTATTTTTGAATCACTCGTCTGACATAGTATCGTCGAATGCGACATAAGTCACTCGACTTTCAAGTCGCATAATACTGATTTACCGTATATTTGAATCACTCGTCACCAGTGTTACCTGTTTGATACGAAATTTTACTCATTTCACGCAGAAATAATAAAAACCGGTAATTACTACTACTCTTTGTCGTTTCATATAAAGTATGACAATGATAGATTATCGTCGTCTAATACCACAAAAAAATTGACAATTATTCTATCATTCGCCTCCACCATTCGCCATGCAGCGAGTGGTCTCACCCATTCGTTGCACTCGAGCGATTCAAAAATACGGAATTATTATGTCGAATGAAATTTAGTAGAATTCGAGCGTTCGAGTGATTCAAAAATAGAGCTCCAGCAAGCTTTCCATTTGCCGGTACATTAGGGACTTACACGTCTGATACATCTGGATGGCTCACCGCACCGTACCTTGATTAATATTGATTTCAATTCCACCATACTTATGTGGCTCTTTGCGGCGAATATTTACAAAAGACGATTATAACGAGTGCTGAGTTGACCTACATGAATAAACCAATTCCATGTCCTTATCTGTAAATACCGAAATAAATTAGGCATGGGTACTTATAGTTTTTATTTGTTTATTATAATGGCAAACTGTGAATGAAGATTCTCCGTCGTTGATTTTTTAATCTTATGGTCTTGATGTAATGAAGAAAAATGCAGAGTATCAATCACACTAATATTATAAAGACAAAAGTTTGTGAGTGTGTATGTCTTCACGTCTAAACGGCTGGAGCGATTTTAATAAAATTTGGTATGGAATTAGCTAACAGCCTGGATTAACACATAAGCTACATTTAACTGTGGGTAGATATCCCTAATAAACCGCGGGTAACACCGCGGGGCACAACTACTAAATTTTAACAGTGAAAATGTTTTTGCAAAGCTGCAAATTCCTAATAAAAGTCGTTGACAATATTAGAAAATTTAGCGCTATCGCGTCTCTCTTTATTTAAAATAGAATGCGCGGATTTATTAATTTGCAAGCTGTTGCCAATAAGGATTTTATTATATTGGAGAATCGGTCCATTTATAAGCAGATAAGTATCAAGAGTCTACGTAACTC